TTTGACGGCGGCGGCGTCGGTGGCGTCGGCGGTGGCGAAGGCGACGACGACGACGACGACGACGACGACGACGACGACGACGACGACGACGACGGAGGGGGGACGTCCTCCTCCTGCTTCTCCTCCTCGGCACTCCTCCGAATTCTTTCAGACCCCTCCGCTCCCACAGGAGTCCCCCCCATCTGCGCTCCCACAGGAGCCCCCCTGCCCCACCGCTACAGGGAGGGGTCCCCCATCTACCCGCGGACTCTTGCATGCATCTCCCCCCTGCTCACCGAGGCTACTTCTCTCGTGCCCGCTCGGGGATGATGCGCTTCCAGCATGGCAGCTACACGTCGGTCGTTGAAAGTAGGTATTCCTGGGCTCACAGATCCCAACCTACTTCAAGCGCTTTCCTACTTCAAACATCGATATGCGTGTGTTGTATTTTGTTGTTCTCTGGGCGGGCCTGATCCCAGTCTGCTTTATCCGTCTTCCTACTCCATGTTTCTATTCACTCCTTCCGACCGACGTGCAATCCAGGCCTCCCATATTGTGTCCGAGTAAATGGGGTCGGTCGGAGGATCACGCCGCATCGCCGATGCATCGGCGATGCGGCGGACGGCGCGGATGCACTGCCGACGTCGCCAATGCATCAGCGATGCGGCGCGATCCTCCGGCCCCATTTACTCGGACCCCATCTAGGAGGCCTCTGGCTAATGCCTACCCCCCACTCCACGCGTGCCTGCTCGAGGACGGTGCGCTCCCCGCACGGCAGCTGATGCCTAAGTCCCCATTCCGTACGTGCCCGTTCGAGGGTTGTGCATTTGAGGGGGGGGATCGTGCTACGGAGCACCGCCGCCGACACATACACACATGCATGCATGCATGCATGCACACATACATACATATACACAAGCACATTTACATACACATGCATGCATGCAGACAGAGAGAGAGAGAGAGAGAAAGACAGACATCTACGTATAGACATATATATATATATATATATATATATATATATATTCCCTTTTCTATATTTTTGCAATCCGGGGGGGTGGGAACCCCCCCCCCCCCCGGAAAATCGGACCCCCGGGATCTGGCGCTTTTGGGGCCCCCTGGACGCCTTGCAATGGGTCCCCCGGGCCTTCCGGGCCTCCTGGACGCCCCTGCCGGGCCTTGCCAGCGGGCCCAAAGCGGTCAGGAGGGCGGCCAAACGGCCCCGCGAGAGCCCCACGCGGCCCCAGACAGCCCCAAGACGCCCGAAGACGACCCAAAGAAGACCCCCAAGAGGTCCTCCAAGTGCAAAAAACAACACTTTCCTTTAGTTTTTTATTGAATTTTTGGACATTCGGTTCTTCGGTATTCCGTGCGTCCGAGTCCGCCGAAGAGGCCCCAAAAATCCTCCCACAACGGTGTCAAAGGGCTTCCAGACAGTCCAAAAGAGCTCCAATATGGTCCAACAGGGCCGCAAGATGGCCCCAAGAGAGCCCCGCTGACAGCCCCAGATGGCCCCAAGACGCCTCCCGAAGCACTCCAAATCGTGACCCGGTCGTTCAGGGAGACCGTGGTTGGTAGCAAGGTGGCCGCAAGAAGCCCCCAGAGGCCCCCAAAAGGCGCCCAGGAGGCCCCCAGAGGTCCCCAAAAAGCTTTTGAGAGGGGCCCAAGAACACCTCCAAAGAGGAGCCCCTGCAATAAAAACTGGGGATGAGGACAAGGAGTGGCTCGCAGACAAGGAAGATTACGAGTAAGAGGAGAGGAAGTATAAGGATAATACATAACATTACTATAACGACGATGGCGCAAACGGCAACAATGAATCATCGCTATATTTGGTTATCCTGCATGCCGAGCTTTAAGAACCAAGGTGCATGGCGCGAAGCGCCAATGCAGTCTTGTATATATATATATATATATATATATATATATATATTATATATATATATATATATATATATATATATATGCATATATAATATATATATATATATATATATATATATATAATATACATGTATGACTTGTTTCTGACCTGGATTGGCCCCCCGCAGTGTAGCTCACCGCCAGCAGCAGCGTGCCTGTCTCTGCTGCCGTTTAGCGGCTCAAGAAACCCCGGATGGTCGATCCGGGTCTCGCTGGAGCTGCTTACCAATTTCTCGCCTCCTCCCTACAGTTGTTCGTGCTGGCCCGCGGCCCGCCCGATTGTCCTGCGTGTGTGGTGTGTGCGCTGTGGACGCCTGCGGCGCCGAGCCGCTCTCCCGCGACGCGGTCCTGCCCGTGCTGACGCGTTCGCTGGACGTCGTTCAGGACGCCTATCAGGAGTGCTCGAGGGCAAGAGCTCATCTGCGAGGTACCTGCGAACACTCGCAGGAGGAAGCTTGCTCGAGGTTCTCGCTGACGCTTCTGTTCATCTTGGGCTGCGTGGTGGCTTCGCTTCTCACCTTGCTGGGGTCGTGCGCAGTATCCCTTACCCGCCGCTCTGCGGCTTCGAGTCATCGCGAAGTGGTGCGCCAAGCTCCTCTGGTGGACTCTCCCGCTGATCACCCAACACCTCTCGCTCTCACACGTTCAGCGGCAACCCCGTCCGCTCTGAGGGCCCATGTCTAAGAGCCTGGACATCCCCGAGCGCCAGGTGCTTATCAGTTTCTTGGGCGACCCGAGCGGGCTGCGGTACCACGGACGGGTCTTGCTTTTCGCCACTCCCACTCAGGGAAAATGGATTGTTGACTTGTCAGAGCAGCTAGCCGACTTGTCAGAGCATCGCGTCATCCCCCTCGGCCGCGACGAGGATCTGCCCAGGCGGCTCTTGGCCGAGGCCTACTTCTTCGACGTGCCGATCGAGCCAGAGTCGCTGGCTCGCATGCGTCGTGCAGGGCGCGACCTTCTCGAGGTCTTCGGGCTGGTGGGCGCCGCCGGCGCTCTGCCGCAGGGGGACCGCTGGCGCGTCGCGGACCCCGCGCGCGACGCCTTCGGCGACGAGATCCCCGAGGGTGTGATCGGCGACGGCGATCAGATGGTCATCCGCGAGAACACGGCGCTCGTTCGCATTGACGAGGAGTGGGTCGCTGCCGCCTTGGTCGAGGAGTCCGAGCTCTCCGAGTGGAAGCGCTTGAAGGCCACTGGACCAGGGCGCGACCCACGCCTCCTCGGCGACGAGCGCGTGGGCGGTCAGCCGCACATGAGTTCCCCGACCATCGCCAAGCTGTCACGTCCAGTGAACCGCCCAGGGTGGCCTTTCCAGGGCAAGCCAGCGGCGCCGGAGCTTCAGCGTGCTTTGATGACCGCCAACCGCGACTTCACCAGCCACCACCTCGACTGGCGGACCAAGTCGGGGATGAACCAGCACGGGGTCGTCTGCCGCATCCATCGGCGTCTCTGCGAGACGCTGTCGACCCTCTACTCGCGCGACCAGGTCGACCCCGCGAGCGTGGCGGGCGCCGAGTACCTCAGCCGTTGGCTGTTCGAGGTCGAGACGGCGGTCCGCCGCAGCCCGAAGGCGCCCGACTTCGCGAACCTGGAGGGCATCTTCGCGGCGCCCCTCGGCGAGGATGGACGCCGCGCCTTACTCCCCGAGTTCGGCAACTTCGTGTCGGGCCTTCAGCGGGACGAGGTGCAGCGCCTCAAGCAGATGCGCCTCTGGCACGAGGAGACGGGCCACCAGGCGCAGGGCGGCGGAGGAGGCGGCAGCAGGGGCTCTGGCGAGGAGGCAGGCCGCGGCCGGGGCCGTGGGCGCGGCGGAGGCCGTGGCCGCGGTGCCGAGGCCGCCCCCGACGGCGGCTAGCCCCCGCGGGGGCCGCGGCGGCGAGGTCCAGAGGGAGGAGGCTAGCTCGGCCCCATCCCCGACGACGTTTGCCTCGCCGCCGCCTTCACCGAGATCGACGTGGGCGCCAAGCTGATCGAGGTGACTACCGTGCGCTTCGTGGCCGTGCTCACGGCGACCCTTTCCCCCCTCCGGTTCTTCGCCGATGGGGTTTCGCGCGCGGCTGCCGCGGTCGGCAGCCTTCGTGCGAGAGACGGTGCAGGGAGGGGCTTCGCTCCCTCAACGCACTTGATGCCCCGTCTCGGGCCTTGAGGCCCCACCCAGCTCCGACGGGGCGGCGCCCGACCATGGCGCATCGTTCCGTTCTTCGCAGGACTTGGGCCAAGGTGTCGCGCTTCCCCTCTCGGCCAGCTTTGACGCCGAGCGACGCTTTCTACGGCCCCATGAAGTCCACGGACATGCACTCAGACCAGCCTCAGCACCTTCGACCCCGCGACCCGTCGAAGCTTCGGGCCCCCAGGGGTTTGGTCACGCCGCGGCGGCTTCGCGACAGGCTGCCGCCGGCTGGCGCCCAGGCCCTCGACAACGCTGACAGCATGATTTACCGCGCCGCCTCGGATATCGACGCGCTGACAGAGCAGGGGCTTCTCACCCCAGCGCGGCCTTACTGGGGCCCTCGGCTCCGCCATGACAGGGCGGCTCGCAGGGACTTCATCATGCGTCTGCACACCGTGGGATTGGTAGGGCCCAGGTTGGGCATCCGTGCCCGGATCGGAGCCTTCTTCGTCGGAAAGAAGGACGGCATGCTGCGCCTAGTCCTCGACGGTCGCGAAGCTTCGAGCCTACACCGACGGCCCCCTCACTCTGCTCTCGGCTCTGCGGGGGCGCTGGCTGGCCTTGACCTCTCACCTTCGGCGCTGCGTCGGGCGGGCCTCTCGGACTCTGACGTCGACCCGCATGGCACTGGCGTGGACCTGCGCGACGGGTTCTACCAGTTCGTCGACGACGACCTCGCGGACTGGTTCGGGCTCGACTTCCCAGAGCCCGCAGGCTACGTTGGCGACCCGGACGTTTATTTCACGGGCACTCGCACTTTCGGCCAGGTCTCTAGTGACACAAAGATTTTCCCAGTCGTCAGGGGCCTGCCGATGGGCTGGAGTTGGCCACTCTGGCTCTGCCAACTTGTGACCGAGTCTGCGGAGACGGAGGCGGTCACTCGCCTTGCTGGGCCCCCATACCCGCGCGTGATCTCGGACAAGAGGCCCGCGCCGCCCTTTGCCATGGGGCGGCCTCTGGTCTCGCCCTACGTGGACAACGCCAACCTCTTCGGCGTCTGCGCGGAGCACGTTGGCACGGCCCTCGACGAGGTCTGCGCGGAGTTGGACCGCCTGAGCCTCGCCTACAACGAGAAGGTCGAGCCGACCCGTCTGTACGAGTCTGTCGGGGTGGTCTTCGATGGGCAGGCGCGGAAGCTCAGGCACACCGACAAGAGGGCCTGGAAGCTCTACTTGGGCCTCCAGCGCCTCATAGGCGTAGGTGGTGCCACAGGCTCGCTCCGCATCATCTACGGGCACCTCGTGAACTTCTTCATGCTGATGCGGCCCGCCTTGGCAGTGCTCGACCTGGGCTACCACTTCATCGCGGAGCACCGCGAGAGGTTCGCCAAGCTCCAGCCCGACCTCTTGGACGAGATCTGTGTCGCCAAGGGTCTGATTTTCCTGGTGGAGGTGGACCTTGGGGCGCCTTGGGCTCCGGCCACTTACTGCAGCGACGCCAGCACCTACGGCTACGCGTTGCACGAGGCTTGCCTGGCGGACGACGAGCTGCTCGACACCTTCAGCGCACGGGAGCGCTGGCGCCTCCTGAACGTAGAGCCCGCCTTCCAGCCTGGTGCGGCCGACGGGCCGCCCTCCGCCATCGCCGCCGAGGCCACAGCTACTCTCGCGGCGGGGCTAGTGGGCGACCCTGCTTTCGATTTTGACGACGAGCATCGCGGGGGCGCCTGCCTGGACCGCCGGCCCGCGCGCACGGCCACGCTCGAGCTCGACGGGATGGTGACTCCCGTGGCCGACGCCGTGGTCGACCGCCACCGTTGGGCTCTGATCGTCCGAGGCGCCTGGAGGTACGCGGCCCCTATCCACGTGAAGGAGGCGCGCGCGCAGCTGCTGGGCCTGATCAGGGCCTCGCGGAGCACCAGGATGCACGGCCACCGCGTGGGCAGCATGGGCGACAACATGGCTGCCCTCCTCAGCTTCGAGAAGGGCCGCGCCCGTGACTTTGCCCTCAGACAGCTCTGTCGGGTCGCTGCCGCGAGGCAGATCTCCGCCGACATCCAGCGGCGGCAGCGGCACGTCGAGACGGACCGCAACCCTACCGACTACGACTCCAGAGCGGCCGAGCTCGGGGAGGTGCAGCCCGGGCAGCCACAGTGGGGGCCTCCCGCCGCCCTAGCCGCCATCGAGGCCAGCCTGGGGCCGCCGCCGCCAGCCGAGGGCTGGCGGGCTGCCCGACCAGCCGCGGGCTCTGCCGGCGGCCTGACCGCGCACGGCGCCCAGCGGCGCCTCGCTCGCGTGGCAGGCCTGCATGCCCGCCGCGGCCGCCGCTGCCTGTCAGAGGTCGCGCCAGGGCCGCAGCCACCACAATCGTTTGATACCCCGGAGGTTTCCAAAGGGGCAGCCTCAGAGACGGCGGAGGTCATCGCCGCGCCTGCTCCGAGGGAGGCAGAAGGCAAAAAGCTCTCGCTCGCAGCCTCTCGTCCTCGTGGTTCCCGTCGCCCCAAAGCTTTCTGCGAGATCTTCGCGGACTGCGCCCGGCTCAACGCCGCCCTCAGGGACTTGGGCCTTTCGGTGACGACCCCGGTGGACCTGAAGAACGGCTCGAATTTCGACATCCTGGACTACAGGGTTTTTACTGTCTTGGCGTCTTGGATCCGATCTAGGAAGCTCTGGTGGGTGCACTTTGGGAGTCCATGTATAGCGCGGAGTCAGGCTACTGGGGCTGCTCGTTCTCAACATCGCCGTCAAGGGCTCCAGCTAGCCCGTCGCACTTTGGACCTCATGAGGCTCTGCAGGGACTTCGACGTGCACTGGTCTCTCGAGAACCCCGCGTCCTCAAATCTGTTCACGTGGGCTCCCTTAACGTCGTTTACCTCCTCAGCCGATTCCGTCAAGATCCTCATTCACTATTGCCAATACGGTTGCACATATAAGAAGCCTACATTCGTTGTTTCAGATGATCCTGACCTATTTGTCATTGGACGTGTATGCTCTGGAGGCCATGCTCATGAGATCCTCGAGGGCAAAGTCTCCGTGGCCATCGATGCTGCAATCCGAAGTCGGTGGAAGACCTCCCTGGCGGGGTCGTACCCACCGGCTCTGTGCCGTGCCTGGGCCAAGGCGCTGGGCGCCGTTACGCCCTCCTCGGCCTGGCGCCGGCACGGCGATCCACAGGTCTCCGGCGGCTGGGAGGCTCACTTGGCGGCCGCTGTCGGGCGGCCCACCTGCGACCTCGTCAGGCCGCGGCCGCGCTGCCCCAGGGGCTCGCCGCCCGAACGGCCTCCCGAGGCCCCCCAGTGGGGCGCCTGCTGGGCTCAGGCACGAGCCAGTCGCAGGGGCCCGCAGGCGGCGGAACTTCATCGAGCCGACGGTCCTGGCGGCCAGGAGGCGCGCCCTCGCCGAGCAGCAGGGCCGCCACGTGGTGCACGGCACCATCCACTGCCTGCGCTACCCGCGACGGACCCCCGCCACGCTGCCGCTCAGCCGCCACGCGCTCGCCCGCTGGAGCCAGGCGGGGCCAGAGCGGGTCCGCGACCCGCTGCCGTGGGGAGCCGCCGTCCTGATCGCCGATCACACGATCCAGCAGGAGCCCCTCGGCGAGGCGGCCGCGGGCGCGCTCGTCGACAGCTTCGACGGGTACCTCCGGCCATCCAGCGTGCTGAGGATCAATGGCGCCGACGTGCACGTCGTCGCGGGCGGGGTGGCCAGGGGGCGCCCCCGCGCGACGGCCACCATCGCCCCGCTCCGCGCCAACAATGGAGCCGAGCCCCGCCCGCGGCTCAAGAACAACGAGCTCGACATCTTCGGAGACCAGGCGAGCTTCAAGGCAGGACGGAGCTTCGTGGCCGACCTCCTCGTGAAGCTGAAGGACCAGCGCCTGCTGCATCGCCAGCTCTTCCCGCTGACGCTGGCCCTGCACGACAGGTACTTCAGCGCCGCGGTCGCGGCCCTTCGCCCGCACCGCCTTGACGTGCACTGGAGAAGGTGCCACGCGCTCTGCTTCAGTCCTTCCCAGGCAAGCTCACGCAGTTGAAAGCTCGCCTGCTTGGTTAAAATGTTTGGCCTCATTTCTTTTCGGCGCCCTCCCTCCCCTCCCTTCAGTCCATCATGTGGGATATGGGGTGTGCCATCAGTCAGTGTTGTGTGCAGCGAGGTTCCAGTTTGAGTATCTTTTTAGTGCGCACCTCTGCCGGCAGAGTTTCTTGTGATTGCTGATGTCATATATCTTCTGCTCGTGCACGCTCGCATAATCGACCTTGCCTCAGGTAAGCCTTGCGGAGTAAACATGCGCAGCCTCTCTGTCAGTTCTGGTGAGCGGTGTCGTCTGCTTCGAATGCTCAGGCCATGATTTGTCTCTGACCTGGATTGGCCCCCCGCAGTGTAGCTCACCGCCAGCAGCAGCGCGCCTGTCTCTCCTGCCTTTTAGCGGCTCACCCGCCCGCGTCCTCCCGACTGGGTGTGCCATCAGTTAATGTTGTGTGCAGCGAGGCTCCAGTTTGAGTATATTTTTAGTGTGCACCTCTGCCGGCAGAGTTTCTTGTGATTGTTGATGTCATGTATCTTCTGTTCGTGCACGCTCGCAGAATCGACCTTGCCTCAGGTAAGCCTACAAATGCGCAGCCTCTCTGTCAGTTCTGATGAGTGGTGTCGATTGCCTCGAATGCTCGGGCCATATATAGCTGTATATATAAATATATGTGTGCGCGCAAACACACACATTTATACATACATATATATATATATATATATATACATATATATATATGTTTATATAGATATGTGTATGTATGCGTGTGCGCCTGCTTACATACATACACATGCATACATATGCATGTATACATGTATGTGTGAATGGATGCATGTTTGTACCTATGTATGTTTGTGTATGCATGCATGTATGTATATATGTATAGTTGTGTGCATGTATGCATGGATTTATACATGCATGCATGCATGTATGTATGTGTGTATGCATGTGCGTATGTGTGTATGTATGTATGTATGTATACATGTGTGCATGTATGCATGTATGTATGTTTGTGTGTATGTATGTATGTGTGTATGTATGTATGTGTATATATGTTTGTGTGTATGTATGTATGTTTGTATGTATGTATGTATGTATATATATACATATATATACATATACATATGTATGTATGTATGTATGTGTTGATGTATGTATGTATACCTTGTTTTTACTCTGGAATGGGGTTCGCGCCTTGGCCCTGGCGCCGCAAAGCGGCCCTCCTATAACACCGATTCCCCCGCTTGATATGTCTTCACTTTCTCCTGAAGAGTGGCAACCTCAATTCGGCATAGTCTTGGGAGGGCGTCTGGATGGCCCGAGGAGGCTTCCGAAAAGGCACCAGTCCCGAAGAGGCGCCAATAAGCTCCCAAAGGGCGCCCCAAGAGGCCCTCGGACAGCCCAAAAGAGCCGCGCCAATCAGCCTAAAGGAAGCCCCAAATATACGAACTAAAGATGTCAACGTACATTGGAAGAGATACTGGCCAAACTTTCTCGGGCTGGAAAACGGATTAGGGAAGATCGGGGCCCCGAAAATAACAATTCCCCCATGAAGTGGGGAACTATCATGATGAATGTGTTTTTGTCAATGGAATCATTGAGCATTTTGGTAGCATGATTGTTGCTGGGGGCCGGCTTCGGCGCAACCCCGAAACGTTCGAGCTTGAGTTTCGTTTTCAAAGTATATGCAGCCAGCGCCAAGGCGAGAGCGCCAGGGCGCCTGCGTCCACATGCGGGACCCCCTCAGTCCACATGTTTCTCGCAACAGCATCCGTAACACCACTTGCCCGTCAGAAGTGCACGCGCACTCTTGTTTCATTCCGGTGCGACCCCGTGCGGGACAAAATTCTGCCCCATGGGGCAGCCTGATTCCCTTCTGTTTGACATGAACAGACTCAAGCAGATCCTTTCGACCCATCTGCATATCAGATCGGAAGTCACCCACCCACAGTGGGACTTCGCACTCTTCTTCAAGCCTACTGACCCAGAAGTGGCCGCCAGTTAGGCGTCGCCCCGCACCTCAGGAAGGGCCCCCAGGCACCGCTGCAGGACATGCGATCATTGCGCCCATGCTGGATACATTGACCAGCCACCCTTAATTCTCCTTTCTAAAAAAACTCTACCCCCCCCCCCAGCGTTATCGCCGCCCTTTCGGGTATGTAAAGCACATATGATTCTGACCACATGTCCATCCTAAATATGAATTTACACTATCCCAGAGGGGCTGGTATCCCCCCCCCTGAGGTTCCCTTGTAAAAAAACACTATGCGGTGACATTTTTTGTTCTAACATAACACTTGTTCACGAATCCCTTGCAAAAAATCGGACGAACTCGCGCGTCGTCGCGCGCGCATGCCGAAATCCTTCAAACACCCTCGGTGCCGTAAGGATTTCGCGATCGAGTTTCCAAAACACATACAAAGCACAGGGTTTCGTAACACTGAGTTGCTAAAAAAGCTTACGCGCGAGATCTTGCGAAATCTTAAGAAAACCATGGGTTTTTCAAGATTTTCGGAACATGCTACCAAACGGGCGTCGCGCGCGCATGTCGAAATCTGTCGAACGCCCTTGCGCGTGTGCCGTCGCGAGAATCCTCTGCAGAAAATGGGACGAAGTGCAGACGCGCGCGTCGTCGCGCGCGTACGCCGAAATCCTTCAAAACCCATCGGTTTCAGAAGGATTTCAAAATCGCGCGTCCAAAAAACCTACCAAAACACAAGGTTTCGCAACACGGATTTTCAACAAAAGCGTGCGCGCGCGCTCTTGCGGCGTCGTCGTCGTCGTCGCCGTCCTCCCTCCTCCCGCGTCGTCGTCGTCGTCGCCTACGTCGTCCTGTGTCTTTCCTCGTGTTCGTCGTCGTCGTCGTCGTCCTCTTTGGCGTCGTAGTCGTTTCCGTCGTCGTTGTCGCCGTGGTCGTCCTTCCTCCTCCTCCGTCGTCGTCGTCGTCGTCCGTCGTCGGCGTCTCGTCGTCGTCCCTCCTATTTCGTCGCCGTCGTCGTCGTCGTTGTCGTCGTCGTCTCGTCGTCTTCCCTCCTCCCTCGTCGTTGTCGTCGTCGGCGTCGCCATCCTTCCTCCTTCTTCGTCGTTCGCGTCGTCGCCGTCCTCCCTCCTCCCTCGTTATCGTCGTTGTCGTCGTTGTCGCCGTCGTCGTCCTCCCTCCTCCCTCGTCGTCGTCTTCGTTGGCGACGTCGTCGTCGCCTTCGTCGTAGCGTCGGCGTCGTCGTCTTCGTCGTTGTCGACGTCGGCGTCGTCGTTGTCGCCGCCGTCGTCGTCGTCGTCGTCGGCCGTCTTGCTTCTCCGGCCTTCTTGGGGCGCTTTTGAGACGCCCCCGAGGGCTCCAAGACGACCCCGGACCGATATCTGTGCTCGGTCCCGCATGGGTTTTACAAACCAAGTTGCGGGTGGGTGGGTGGGATGATTGCGCGAGCAGTGGAGTTGACAACTTCAAGTTCGGCAAGTGATTAATTCATAGGACCATACGATCCTCCAGTACCTTCTTCCTGGGAGGCGGGGGGGGGGAGCTGGAGCCTGCGGCTGGCAGGCAAAGGCGCTGTCGCCCGCGTTCCCTTTCGTGACGTTGCTGGTCTCTGGGGGCCACAACATGGCAGCTCGCCGCTTGCCCCTGCCGCCACCGCCGCCGCCGCCATCGTCGTCGCCGTCGCCGTCGCCGTCGCCGTCGCCGTCGCCGCGACCAGACTCAGCACAACAAATCCATTTCCAGTCCCCCACCCCTACTCGATGCCCATCCTGGTCTGCTCTCTTCGCGCCGCACTCGTCGCCGCGACGACGGGCGCCTCCCGAGAGTCGCCGTGAGGTCTCCGAGGCGACGCCGCCGCCGCCGCCGTCGTCCGGTTGCGGCCGGCCGCTGCCGCCGTGGGTCATGGCCCCCGCTCGGAGCTGCGGGGGTGGCCTGGTCGCCATGAGGGAAGCGGGTCCTGAATGAAACGGGTCCTGCGGTTTTTCGTCGTTTTCGGGCCCTCGGGCCCTTCACGGGCCCCAGGACTATCAGAAAACGATTCAGGATGAAGATCCGAACCCTACCCCCGCTTCCCATCGATTCAGGAGGATCGATGATTGGCGGCGGGGGTAGGGTTCGGATGTCACCACCTATCCTCAGGACGTGAGTTGGCCCAATGTGTTTGCCCCGCTCTGCCCCGCGGGCGCACGCAGCCTGTGTCGGCCCGCACCTACACTGCCTCCGTCGTATCAGAGGGTTTCGTTGGACAAGCACACATTCGCGCTAACACACGTTCTGAGGATCATCGATTGAAGGAGCAGAGGGGATGATCAGGCGGAGGGAGATGCTTCCGCCCCTGGGGCGTCATTGTCGTATGCAGGTCGAGTGTGAGATGTTTTTTCTGCGCAGCGGTATGGGGGTCTGTCCCAGGATGGGAGAGAGCATTCCTCGTCCTCGACATCGTCCTCCTCCTCCTCCTCCCTCGCTGTCCTCCTCCTTGCCGTTCACATCCTCCTCTCAGAACTTCCTCCTTCCCCACCCCTCCTTCTCCCCATCGTCGTTGTCTCGTCGCCGTCGCCGTCCTACGGTCAGACCGAGGTGTGAGATCGAGGTCGGTTCGGGGAGGGTACTCGAATGTTCTTCGTGCTTGTTGGATGTTCTTGGGCATCTTGGGAGAGGGCACCCTCGAATATTTTTCCGCTTGGCCAGCAGATGGTCTCATGTTATTGAGGGATGTTCAGCCGTCTTAGGTCCGACCGTATTCTTCATCATATCGTCATCCCCGTCGTAGTTCTCTCTTCTTGCTCCTCCTGTTCGCCCTCCCCCGTCCGCTCGTTTCTGCCCGCCTCCTTCCTCCCGCTTCCCTCCGCCGAGCCCTCTCCCTCCTCGGTTTCCTCCTCTGCCTCCTCATCTGTCTCCTCTTCCTCCTCCTCCGTAGCCCGTTTGGCTCAAGCCATCTTGGCTCAAGTAACGTTTTTCTCGAGGTGACGCAAGGCCGTACCGCTCGGAGATCACAGAGGCATGCCCAGGCAGATCTCAGAACCGTTTTGCTTCTTCAGTCTCACGCACAAGCATTTTGCCACTGCGTACTGCTCCCGAAGCCAGGTGTCCCCCTTCTTCAAGTCTCCATGGCGGACATGGGGGCCATCGCGCAGATATTGAAAGGGATGCAGGAAAAACAAGATCGTGACCACACGACGATGATGCTGGCCATCGTGAACACAGACCACTCGGTGCAGGAGCTTACGGCCCTCAGGCCCGAGGTCGAAGGTATCAAGAGCCAGATGGTAGAGCTCGACAGTGAGCTGCACAGCAAGTACGACGAGTACATGTAGGCGGACAACAGGCTGAACTTGATCGCTGTCCAAATTTCATTGATCCGTGCTTTGGTGTGGGGTGGGGGGCCGTGTCGCGCTGAGGCGTATAGTGTTCACCTCCCCGACGCGTCGCTCATACCTGCTGTGGTCCAAGCCGCTCGCGGGGGTCTGCAGCCAGCCCCGTACCGCGCGAACTGCTACCCCGCGGGCGGCTGCTTGCCAAAGGTTTCTCAACCCCGTGGCGCCGGGCCCTCGCCATAGGGCTCGCCTTCTCGTTCCTCGGCGACGCCGGCCTCATCGAGTGGGCCCTCGAGTCTCTGATAGTGCCCTACAAAGAGACCGACCCGCTCCTGCGCTACGGGCGCATGAGTCCCCGCCTCAGTTTCAGAGAGTACGTTGGCCTGTCGATGTCAGCTGTGTGCCGATGGTGTCGCGTGTATCGGAGCCTGGGCGGAGGCCGGGACGAGGGAGGTCGCCCTGATGCTACTGCGGCTCTGGCGACACTCGCTGGATCTTCGTCCGTCCCGACCGTACTCTCGGCTCGGTGGACATCAAAGATCGGTCTCGGATCTCGGCAAAGCGGCAGCCCCACGTCGCCCACGCACACTTGCCTGCCCTGTCCGCCGACAAGAAGACGGCGGCGCTCGAGGCGGGCATCGAGCAGCAGCTGAGCATGGAGTTCGGCGCCGCCCGCTGGCGCTCCTGGGGCTCTGGCTTGGCGTGGCTTCGCAGTGGTGGCGTCTTCCTGTGGTCGACCTCCTCGCGGGGCGCGACGGGCGGCCTGCTCTTCTCTGCATGGGGGGCCACCGTGTACTTCCAGGCTTGGAGCTGGGCCGTGGAGAAGATGGGCGACATCCGCTCGCTCCGGATGGAGTTGGACGACTTCTGGGCCCACTTGCACGATCTGTACCAGGACGGGTGTTTCCGAGCTCCCGCTGCTCATCCTCTCCTTCCTGCTGGCCTTCGCCCCCGTGCCGCGGAGCTGGGCGCGGCGCCGTGGCCCCCCGAGGTTCGGCATGGTCACGCCTCCTGGCAGCGACGTGGACAGCGACGGTGAGGCTGGTCACTCGGTTGGCTCGGAGTCCGAGTCGGAGGGCAGCGAGGAGGTGACGGAGATGAAGAAGATGATGCAGGATGTGCTGGCCGAGGCGCACCGCGACCGTCGCGAGCGCCGCCGTCGCGACACTGCATCAGGCAGCCCCCGTCGGTCAGACCCGTCGGCATGGGGCCCAGATTCCAGCGCGGGGAGTTGGGCGCGCATCCCGTCGCCCCCCCGACTTGAGCATGCATGTCGACCGCGTGATGGATCGGCTGCAGCAGCTCGAGGAGACCATCCAGACGGGCCGCCGCTCTCTGAGCCGCCGCGCGGTCGGCGACCAGAGCTCGGCGGCAGCTGCAGCGGAATCTTCCGAGGCGCCGACGATCAACCTTGATCCGCATGCGTCGCAGGAGTCGGTGGTCAATCTCGGTCCCCCGCGCGAGTCTTTGAAGGGCCCCCGCGTTCGCCCGATGGGGCACTCCGCGAAGTTGATGGCCGCCCCATCCTTCGAGTTGCCACCTGGGTTGACGGCGCAGGTCGCGCCAGAGCTCCTGGCGCAGACCTACGGGAAGCATGGGGGGCGCGAGCACGTTCGCGACCGACTGGGCGAAGCAGAAGGAGCTATGCAAGAGTCGCATCGGCCGCG